CTTTCCCTAATCGTAAAGCTGCAAGGCAAGCACAAGCAGGTAAAACGGTAGCCAACATGATGCCATTGGGTCTAATTCGCTCCTTCAGCGACCTGCGAAACATCAGTAAAGCTTCGTCGCTCAATCCATTCAGCACATAGCCGGATATCATGGCGCCGCATATCGCAACATCCATTGCTCCATTCATGTTAAAAACCTTGTTTGCGAGTCCTACATCTCTGCTCTTGAAATATATATCGATCAGCGCGCTCTTCAAGAACAAATCAAAGCAAACATTGTTTCTGAGAATGTAAGCATGAATTTCCTTGCCTTGCTTTAGATTTGCTGAGTCGGAGAAGGAGGGGAGCAAACTTGAGAGAGTGATAGAATCTGGTTTTATACCGGCATCCTGCATCTTGTAGAACGATTCAACAGCTTCGTTCCTTAATCCATTTTGAACCAAACCAGATATCATTCCGTTCCAGGTAACAACATCGGATTTCGACATCAAACCGAACAACAGATTCACATCGCTCAAACATCTGCATTTGGAGTACATTGCTAGCAGTGTGTTTGCAACGGAGATCTCTGAATCGAGGCTGAGTTTGATTGTGAGGCCATGAATCAGAGCTCCATAACTCAGTAATGCTTGCGAAGCACAGAGAGATAGAATCGAAGAAAAAGTTACATAATTTGGCTTAGTTCCTGAGCTCAACATCCATCTGAAGATCTCGAAAGCATGTTCAGCATCCCCAACTCTGACATAACCATCCATCATCACATTCCACAACACACAATCTCTTTCAGGCGTTTCATCAAACACCTTCCTTGCATCCTCAACAGAACCGTTTTCAGCATACATTTTTATCAAAGAACTTCCCACAAAGGCATCTTTCTCCATTCCCATCAAGGAAATCATCTTGTGGATGTAATTACCCAAAGTAGATGCCGATAAGGCGCAGCAGGATTTGATCACATAAGGAAATGTGTATTTATCAGGGAAGATTCCAGCGCAAAGCATCTTGAAATAGAACAATAAGCTGAACTCAAACAGACCAATCATGGAGAATCCGCGAATCATCCAATTCCAGATCAAAGTTGAATCTTTTCCCACGGAGAAAAACAAGGATTTTGCATCAGAAATGCTTCTGCACATCACATACATACCAAGAATGCTGCTTTCGAGGAGATTGTCGGCCATGAGGCCGTATGAAACAACCTGAGAGTGAACCTGGCGGCCTCTCTGCAGATCGGATGGGTTGCGAAGAGTCCGCAGAATTAGAAGAAACCGGCTGGTGAAATCCTCCGAAGAAATTTTTTGAGCTTGATGGGAATCAACGATGTTAAAAACTGATTGTGACGAATATATGCGGATCAAGTTACGGGCTTTGGATGCTAAGACTCGTTTGCGGATGAAATTTAAAGAGGTTCCATTCATTACAGTGCAGTTGGAGGAACATGCGTCGTGGGTGAGAGTAGAACTAGAACTCAAAATGAAAACTTAGGATTTGGAGCAGGATGTACGGTGGGGTGGCGCGCACGGGGCATTTCCATACGGACAACATCTACGTGGAGACGGTCTACACGGTAGATCATCATAGATCATTGATCACAATGAAAATATATATTCGGTGAGCTTTAATTTAAAAAAAATTTTATTTTTTTTATTTAATAGATTACATCCTCACTGTGATCTACGGTGTAGATCCGACACCACATGCATCTCTGCATGCGATATCCGTATGCAATAATATTTATTTATTTTTTATTTAATAGATTACATCCTCACTGTAATCTATGGTGTAGATTCGACATCACATGCATCTCTGCATGCGATGTCCGTATGCAATAATTTTTCTAGAAAGAGAAGAAAAATTAGTGTTATACCCCTTATAATCTTTCTCTATTGTACCTTCAGTAAGTTCAGCACTTCTATTTTCATATATTTATAGGTTACAGATAGGTTACATGGATGCTACATGAGATATATCACAGATATAACCGCTCAATAACCTCTAAATAACCTCTCTAAGTCTTATCCATGCAAATTTTTCTCCAGGTAGAGAGAAGTAATTTTGGCGGGGTCCTCTAAATTTATTTAAAGTTAATTTTTCTTTACTATAATTTTATTTAAGTTATTTTTTTAACTTAATTTTATTTAAGTTAATTGATTAATAGTTAATAACTAAATCAAGTATTATCAGCCTAATTATACTTTAAAAATTTTGTTTATTTTTAAATTATTAATTAATAAAAGAATAAATATAATTTCTTTATTTATCCAATAACTTCATAAGTAATTATTAATAAATGTAATTAATAACAAATTAATTATTCTTTTATAAATATTAAATTTGTATTTAATAAAAAATTTACTAAGCATATATATAATTATTAATTAACAATTTTAGAAATTAAATATTAATTGAATTTAAGAAGTTAGTTTGTCTATTTTGAAAGATTTTAAGAAGTCAAAATGTACATAAGAGCATCAGAACAAGGAAAGGCAGCAGTTCCTCACCTGTAATACATTGCCTCTCTTCTTATCAAGGACCAAACCCCTAATCATATACTCCCAGTTGAATTTCCAGTTTAGTAGCTGCAAAGAGGAGTAATATGCGACAAATAAAATTAGAAATCATGCCAGATTATGGTAAAATATATAAATTAAATTTCAAGTAAGCATAAGAGTAGGGGTGTAAACGAACCGAACACGAACGAAGCATAAGAGTAGGGGTGTAAACGAACAGAGCTTGTGTTCGTTTTTGGTTTGTTTGAAATAAGCTCGTGTTTCAAATTGTTCGCGATATCACTGTTCGTGTTTGTTTCTTAACGAACGAGCCGAACACGAGCTGGTCGGTCGTGAACGGCGAGCCAGTTTGTCATCCCTAATATTAATATATATAAATAATATATTATATTAATTAAATAATTTTTATTTTATAAATTATATATATAGTATATTACTACTATAGTATATTAATATATTATTATTATTATTATTTTATATATTATAATTTATAAAATTTAATTTTTTAAAATATCATAAATTTTTTATATATAATTAATTTAAATTTAGGGTTTAGACTATTTATCTGTTTAGGCTAATTTAGCTAGCACAACAGTGCATCTGTCTTCACATGTTGGAGGTTGTCGAGCAGAGCATGCATCCTTTTTGTCCATATATATATATCACTTTTTGATTTCTCCTTTGCGCGAATGAGGGATAAAATGACGTAGAATTGAAAAACCCTTCTTTTTTGTCACCGTAAATAGTGGGTTTCACCAATATGTGATTGCCCATTCAAACACCTTTTGCATGAGGATTCTTCCCCCATTTTGGAGGAACCCAAAGTTGAATGAAGGGGAATATTTTTAGGTAAAAATGAGCTTTTTTTTTTCTTTTGTTGCTATAAAGCCATTATATCTTAATTAGCCCAATTGGTCGGGCAATTTGCTTACTTAAAGGAAGGTTGACCCATTTGAACGCGTGATTCAAATTAACCAGATCTCCTTTAACATTAAAATTGGATAACTTAATACGAAGATAGTTAATTATCTATCGATTTCAAAAAAAAAAAAACAAAAAAAAACTATTTGTCATGAAGAAGGGGTTTAAGATATATAGCTTGATTTTTATCATATGACATTTTAAGGGTGCATGTCATACGTAATTTTTAAAGAAATTTAGAATATATTTAACTTTTGAAGATAATAACTTAGCTAGAATTGCTCTATTTGCCTGGTCACTAGCTCGTGTCGACCAACTCCAATCGAATGCATGTGATTATAAGTATAATTATCATTTTACAATAATCATTCTCTTATACACATAGGAGTATTTATTCTTGATAGGGGGAGGAAAGAACTAATATGAAAAGACACTGTCTCGCTGCTCATCTCTCTCTCTCACTTTTTTTCTCATTATATATGTTATATTTCTTGAGTTTTATTCATAGACAATTTTGGATTTAAAATTCTAAAGGTTTGTTAAGTGTGAATCATACCACAAACAAAAAATGAAACTGACTCATGTAGAAGTGCTAACAATATATTGTCGGAAAGAATAATCAAACACATTCATTCAGCCATCTAGCGAACCCTGCCATACTAGCTCCATTCATGCCAACCACGAGCTCCATTCGGTTTGACAAGCTAGGTCTTGTCAACTCAGCCAACTCCATTTGGCTCGTTTAGCTCCATTCAACTTGATCGGTTCCAATCGGCCCTATCAGCTTCGTTCAGCTCAACCTATGTCATTCAGCTCACCCAGCTCCAATTGATCGGGTAAACTCTTGTTAGCCACCCACAGTCAGCAAAAAAAAAAATACTCTCCCCATAAAGTTCTCTCAAAAATATTATAAGAAAATAGTTTATCAAAGGGAAGATACTCCATGAATGAGTGAAATTGAGCATCAAGAAAAACTCTACATGAAAAATCTCTCAGGACCCTCCTTATTTTTGTTTTTTTGCATTTATGATTTTTCTTATTTCTTAAATATGAATTCACCCATGGCACTCTTGGAACTTGCCTTTGACAATCAAGTTTATAGAGAATAAAGAGAAAATGACCTATATCTTTTGACTCTATCTGGCTTAATAGCAAAATGCTAGGGACAATATTAGATAAGTTCTTTAAAAAATATAAGTCGTCCAAATAAAAAATGAACTCAATTAACTAAGGGTTGAAGACAACGAGATCTCGACCAAGATAAAGTTGACACTTTATGTTGACTGCTTCCTGCAGAAGAGTTACAACTCCCAGGTGAAGCATTGTTTGAATTTAAAAAAAATTCTTGAATTTCTTTACAAGTAAGCCATGTTAAAGAGAATAGCCAATCCAGTCATAAGAAAAAGAAAGCTCCTTTCACTGATAATACTTGGGGAACTCTCTTCATAAACCAAGTTAATTGTAATAATTATGAGATGATGATCAATGAGACTACTCTCTAAAAGTGAATCAAACGGCCCCATGACAGAAGCATGAAAAAGAGCTTAGAGCACCCAAACAAATAAATAGTCTACATATAAATAGATGCCTCACTCATTTCCACTTCAACAATTTTCCAACTCATATATAGAGAAAAGCATGCACTCATCTTACACAGATCGATAATTTTAGTTTCATATTTATCATTTTCTTATTTTTTTTCACATGTTTTTCAAGTAGTCAAGAGAATTAGTAAACTATTATGTATGAAAAAAAATTATCCTTTGTATTTTTAAAGTACGAAGATCATCCAAAGAACCTATTGAACTCAACCAATTCTAGTTGGCTCGGTCAGCTCCAGTTGGCTCAGGCAACTAAAATTGGCCCGGTCAGCTCCATCCAGGCCTGTCAGTTCCAGTCAGCTCGACCAAATTCATTCAGCCAAATCCATGTTAGCTGTAATTGGCTGGCTAGACCAGCTCCAGTTGATCTGACCATCTTCATTTGACCTGACTTCGACTGATTGGCTAGACCAGCTCCAGTCGATCTGACCATCTTCATTTGACCTGACTTCGACTGACTCTATTCAGTCACTCTATTCAGTATGAACAGTTACGGTAGGCTCGACTGGCTCCATTCAGCTCAGCCCTAAACATCATGTTATCTATGTAAAAAAAGGTGTACTTCAATTTTAAAGTTAAAATTATGATTTTTTTTTTGATATAAGAGTTTTGGTGATATAATTATAAAAGTAAGCTTTACTTATTAGAAATGCAAATACATAAAAATTAGGTGATATCTATGTAAATGCCCATATATATTAAAGTAATTTATTAGGTTTTAAATCGCTGTCCGTTGAGCCGCGCCCTCCACTCACTGGTTTCACTGAACAAATCGCATCATCTATCTGCTCTGAGCACGAGCAAGACCGACATGGTAACACTGCAAGGAGCCATCACTGCTCGAATCAACTGCACCCAACACAACACATTCACCCCGTGGCGAACCCCTATCCCTAATCACCGACCACCGGAGGTACTCCAAACAAACCCTAACTGTCCGGAATGGCCCCGCCGCTCTTCTGGTCCTCTCCCTGCCGGCTGTCACAGCATGGCTATCCATTCCCCGCCGAGCTGCCGCTTTCTCTATTAGCATTAGTGAGAACGTCAATTTCTGCGACCCGTTGTTTTTTTATCTCATTTATGTTATTACTTGCTTCGTTTAACGGTAGTGGATTTTGGTAATTATTTGTAGCGGGACCAAAGGAATGGCTCCGAGATCAGAAGAAGAAGGCGGCCAGGTTCGTCTTGGCTCCCATCGACGCGTCTCGGCAGAGCCTCCGCAATGCATATCAGGCGATTGGTACTTAGTGATTTGTTTTTGTTTCTATTATACGTTATTCTCTTCGGAGTTTGTTTGGTTTGCATAAATTCTGGAAGGGTTTCCATTCTGGGGATGAAGACATCAAATGAAACAATGTTGGAAGGTTTGAAAGGCCATTAAGAATGGCTGAAATGGTTTTTCATTTGGAGGTGAAAGTGACAAAACACTAAAGTTTTTCTATGATTCAGGGGTTTGAAATGTATGAAATAAGTAGAATTAGGGCATATTTATAAAGTTTGAAAATGATATTACTGCTCTGATTAATGTAGGCGCATTTCTTCGCGAACCTATTACTCGTATGCCCCTCTCCGTGCTCCCCTCTCACTGCTGCCCTCTCTCTCATGTTTCTTCTGCCCTAGGTCACGCCACTCTCCGGTGGCAACAAGTTGCCTTTCTACTTTCCCTTTTCTCTCTTATCTCTGTTGGCAATGGGTTGTCTCTCTTCTCTCCCTCTTCCCTCCTCCCTCCGATCCCGGGCTCTCTGTCTGTTTATTGTGCTCTCCATCCTCCTATGGTATCACCTATGTTTTTTCGATCGAATGATTTTCCCTTTGTGATTTGTGGCTTTTTTATTTGCGGTTTGAAGTGAGAATTTGAATTTTGCTATTTTTGGCTTTCTCATTTGTGTTTAAAGTGCGAATTGGATTTTGCGATTTGTGGCTTTCTTTTTATGATTTGAAATTTAAATTTTGCGATTTTGTGGCTGAATGTAATATGGAATGGGGTTTATCTTTACTTTTGATGTTTGATTGTGAATTTGCAAAATGGCTGAAAGGGGTGCTCGATTTGTTGGTATCAATGTTTCATGTAGTAGTCTCAAATGAAAAATATGACATGGAGTTTTATCTATACCTTTGATGTTTGAGTGTGAATTTGAGAAATGGCTGAAAGAGGTGCTTGATTTGTTGATAGCAATATTTCGGGTGCCCTGTATGTAATTGCATCAAATGATAAAATTGTGATGGGGTTATATCTGTACCTTTGATGTTTGAAAGAGAATTTGAAAAATAGCTGAAAGGGGTTGCTTGATTTGTTGATAACAATGTTTAGGGTGCCCTTTATGGAATTGCATCAAATGAAAAATATGGGGTGAGGTTTTCTCTTTGTCTTTGATGTTTGATAGAGAATTTGAAAAAACACTGAAAGAGAGATCTTGATTTGTTGATAGCAATGTTTTGGATGCACTGCATGAAATTGCATCAAATGACAAATATGAGGTGGGGTTTTATCTTTACCTTTGATATTTGACAGAAAATTTGAAAAATGGCTGATAAAGGATTTCTGATTTGTTGATAGCAATGTTGTGCATGTGGAGGTGGTGATGTACGTTGGTTTGTGTGTGGAGGTGGTGGTTAGTGTGTGGGTGTGGTTGTGTTAGGAGTTTGTGTTAGAAGATGTGTTAGAGGATGTGTTAGTGGATGTGGTTGGTGTGTGGTTGTGTTTGTGTTAAATGATGTGTTGGTGGATGTGTGGAGGTGGTGGTGGTGTTTCAGAGGTGGTGGTTGGTTTCCGGTTGTGTTTGTGTTATAAGATGTGTTGGTGGATGTGTGGAGGTGGTGGTGGTGTTTCGGAGGTGGTGTGTGGCTGTGTTTGTGCGGAGGTGTTGGTTTGTGGAGATGGTGTTGTGGATGTGTTGGTGTGTGGAGGTGGTGGCAGTGGTGATGTGTAAGTGGTGTAGTGTGGTGTGGACGGGCATTGGTGATGATAGTTTGACATTCCTTTTTTTGTTTGAGTTGCGATATTGCGACATTATTATTTATGTTGATTAATTTTTTTTCATGTTAGTAATACAATGATTAAGACAAAAGACCCTGGTTGATCTACAATGTGGGATAAAGAGATAAAATTATTATTTTGTAACCTTTGCCTCAAGGAGGTCAAATTGGAAAACATGCTGACAACTTATTTCAACAAAAAGAACTGACAAAAACTACAATGTTCTCTGCTTACTTCATAACAACCACATAACTACGGAAGACAGTTTTACAGGTGTCCAAGAAGAAGAACAAACAACTGTGACTTCTTTAGGTAGACAGATGGGTTGGAGGATTTCACCGCCGAGAGTGATCGAGCGTGGAGAGTTTTCCTGGATCTGGATGCAGTTTATCTCGTGACTTACACTAGTTGTATTTTAAAAATAATATTATCATATTATTGATTGTTATTTTAGTAGTTTTTTTTTTAATTTTGATAGTCGTGTTACTCACATTTAGTGAGGTTCCTTTTTATTTTGTAATGTTCAAACTGAATATTTGCTTTTAAGTATGAGATGAGTTAGTAAAAACAGTTATGTTGTTAGCAAAATTACAATACATGGATAAAATAATCATTTATCCAGAAACAATTGCAACACAATTATTTTCAAATTGCAAAAAACAAACAAACTGTCAGCTTATCCGCAATAATTTCCCATCACAGCTGCTGTGCAACAACTTATTAATAAGCTGCAGATGCCCCAAACAGACCGTAAGAATATATAAGAATATTCCATATTCTTATTTACAAAGATCATACTAGATTGCACTCTTCCTTAATTTCTCCCTTGATCTAGAATTAATTGGATCCTTCCTTTGAGTCTACGACCAACATGAAGTAGGGACCAACATGAAGTAGGGGCTGCCATTGGCGGTCCTGCAACATTTGCCATTGACGATGTATTTGATTGATGATCCGAACAATCGTTTTGTTGATATTGGCACACAAATCCAATATGATTGAAAAATTGAAATTCAGATAGTTGAATTGATGTGAAAGAAGTTTTGTGGATTAAATTTGGTGGTGGTTGAAAAAAGATGGTGATATTTAGCTCGTTTTTTTTTTGAAATGTTCGTCTCTTTGAGATTAATAATTAGTCACAAATGGCTTGCAAAATTGAGGTTGACGAAAGTCTCAAGAACTCCAGGAAGCTAGGATACCATTGGATGAATTGCATAGTAACTAATGTTCCTTGCGACTGTCAGACACCACCATTGTATGGTGTGTGAGAAGTGCTTTCTAGTGGGTGGATTGGAGGTTGTCATTGCTTGAACTCTGCCATATGTGATGGATGAGGCGGCGGCGGCTTGGAACAATTAAGTCATGCCTTCAATTTGCTTATATTTGAATATTTTAGGAGTTGTTGGATTGTTGTGATGAGTAGGACATGTTTTGCAACAATTTTGCATTGCTTCGAGCTCACTTGATCTCTAAATATTTTTAGAGTTAAAATTGTCTGAGACGGGTACTTTACACCTACTGTTATGCTTGTTAGGTAGATATATTCAGTTGCTTGTGGATTTAAACTAGTATCTAGAAAATGATTATTATTTTGTCTGCATTTATTTTATGATGAAATTGAAATTGTTACATTTGAAGAGCTTTTGAGAGGGTCTTTCTGAAGCATAGCATAAATCGTGATTTCTAAATAAACTCGACTAATAATCCATTTACTCAACTTTATTATTTTCAAAAACACTGTTTGCAACGCCAGGCAACCGATTAAACAAGAAAGGGAAAAAAAAAATTAGGCCATCACATAACTTGTATGGCCCTCATCTCACAAAATAAATTAATAAATAAATAAATAAAAAGAAATTAAATTTCTTTACGACTAAACAGGAAAAAAAATATACCGTGCACTCATATTCTTCTCAACCAAGTAGGTTTGGGGAAAATAAGTTTCAATCCAATCTCTCTATCATTGTTATTATCATTTATTTTTCATTTCCTTTATTGTAATTCCTTCAAGCCAAACAAAGCTTTATTGGCTTGGTTTTCAGAATTTTGATTATGCTTGACAGATTTGAAATCACCAGTGATGGTTGCTGGGGAGCTCCGGAAGCTGCTGAATTCTGCAGCTAGGGATTGTGTCCCTCAGGATAGGAATTCTTTTGTAGCATTTCAAGCCCGTACGGGAGTGGAGGTTGGGTTTCTCTTGGAAATCAGATAGATTGAAATTTAACTTTTATGAAAAGAAATGCTTTTCTTTCTTTTCCACATGACTTGTGGAGAACCTGGAAGGTTTCATCAATGCAGTTAAAATATGAAATTTTTGTGTTCTTGCAGGTTTGCACTTTTGCGTTGATCGTAAAGAATGCTGCTTCGCTACTCGATGATGGGGATCCGGTGAAGCTGGAGGCAGTGACTAGGCTGGACGATCTCATAAGGTTCATGAAGTGGACATTTGAAATCAATTTTTTTTTATTTTAAATTCTGATATTGAATTTGTCAACATTGGAAGTCCAAGCCTGCTATGATATTCAGCTTTATGTGGGTTCTATCAGAAGAATGTTGGTTGAAGTTTTGAAAATGTGGAGGTGAAGATGCGTGAAGGGCACATATATTATTTCATGAAGTTGATATTGGTTCTGTAGGAATAACTGATGATTTCATGAAGTTCAAACTCCTTATATCACATGCTTCTTGCTACTAGTTTATATAGATTATTGTTTAACCAACTTTTTGTTTAGGCTTACCTTGTGCAAGTCTTGCACTTTCGAACTTTTTGTAAATCTTGAATGTTCATGAACTTATACACTAATTATAGAAATCCAAGTGGTTAGACATTTGCATTTTATTTGGCAGGTAAGTGAAATAAGTGTTCTTGATACTTAATTTTAAGTGTATTCAATTTACCTTTATAAATAAAAGTATTTAGGTAAATTTATCTTGATTATTTTTTGTATGTGCAGATCATTTTCATTTCTTGGAGGTATCATTGATGACAGTGATCTTGGTGTGACTTCAGATAGGTATGATCCTTTTAGAGGAATTTTATTTTACAAAATCAACATTATAGAGGGGCAACTGAGTTTGGCCGACATAAGTTCGACTTGATAATTGACTCATTAGTCACACTTTATGAGCGAGCGAACCGAACGAGCCTTTAATCACGTTGTTAGCTCATGAGCAGGCTCATTTGAAAGAACTTTTAAACAATATATACTTATTGATATAATCATTTAAGGCTTTAATTACAAGGTTACAAAAAAGAAAAAAAAAAAGTAAACTTCCAATTTTCTTTCTCAAAAAAATTATTTTTTATCTATATTTTCTCCTTGTTTACGTTAGTTACATCGTTGCAACCTTTGGGATTTACTTTTATTTTATTTTCTTGTACAAGAAGACGAAGCGGCTTAAACTCATTGAAGTGAGCTCGAACTTGATTAGCACATCAACTCAAGTTCAAGAAGGGGTGGCCCTAACTCAATTGAACTTGTTTTCACAGCTACTTATACCAACTATTTGGAATCGTATTTACACTTCCTCAATAATAAATCTCATTGAATGCTACTTTGTTCAAGTGATCTAGCATGATTTTGTTGTATGTCACTTAGTCTATTTTTTTCTTCTTTATTCCTTCAACTTATTCTACCCTCCGCTGCCATTGTACGCACATGTTGTACAAGTCTATTTTGTGCCTGTTTTGTCTACATACAATAAGTTCTCCTCTCACCATCATGTTTATACAATCATTTATTACTCCATTTATTTAACAAAACTTAATTTTAAAGTAATATTCTCAATCTGTATTCTAAATATTTTGAACAAAAGCTCCAATTTACTTAATTCTATGACACTTAAGTATCCATTGATCTTCCAAAAATATTGATTGATAATATCATTCTTACATTCACTAAACTAATCCTAAGCCTCATATCATTTAAAAGTTCTTTCAATATTTCACTTTTAGTGAATAAGTGGTCTCATCTATTTAAATTATGTCACATGCATATAGCACGAGTGCTTCACTTAAAAAAACTTATATAAGCACCTCTCTTTTCAATGCAACCGTATTAGAATTAATGTTGATGCATGATGTAGGTCTACTCTAATTGTGATAATGTTTACTCATGATATGACAAAGGTATAAATTTCTTCAATCCTATCAATTGATGTTGACTATGTGCTACATTGTTCAGATTGAAATTATTGTTGTTTAAGATTTTCAAAGTCCTGGTAGGACTTTGAAAATTGATTTTAAGTTGCTTCTCACACCGGATTTAACTCTTAATGCAGGGAAAAGGTGAAAATTGGCCTGTTGCAATCAATCTCCGCCCTTGACAATTTTGAACAGGGTATAAAAGATTGTTTAGGTGTCTGAAGGCTTAAACCTTTTTTACTGCATTCTCCAATATCTTTTTTCTTTTTAGATTTTACTTCAAAGCATTGAAGCTTAGGATTTAATGCCGTTTTCATGTAATATTTCCACTTGAGTGATCCGCTCAAGAGATTGGTTCAGGTACTGACGAACTTGACAGAGTCCAGTTGTGTCTTAGCTACTCTACTTCTTTGTACTGCATTTTGTTGTGATAATCATGCTATATGTTGAAGTGAAATATTGATTGCATTGTGCACATCATTGGTTTTTTTTGGAGCAGATATAGGGATGTAAATTGAGCGAAGCTGACTAGCGAGCTGGCTCGGTAAGTGGCTTGTGAACTAAACTCAATGAGCTAACAAACCTAGCCGTGCTGGCTCGTGCTTGGCTCAGTAAGTGACTTGTGAACTAAACTCAATGAGCTAACAAACCTAGCTCTGACCAGCGCCGGCTTGACTCGTTAGCTTGTGAGTCGGCTTTTTTAAAAAATAATTAATATAAATGAAACTTTTTTAAAAAATATTTAATATAAATGAAACTCAAATTATATTAAAATTCAATAGTTGTTCTTTTAAATTTATTTAAAATATTTAAAACATGAAATTTTACATTCTATATTAAGTGATTTCTTATTAATTATCACTTGAATGCTCATTCTATTTGTCATTGATTTTAAAACTAGCTTGAATTATTATTGCTTTCTCTCTATCATAATAAATAAACTGGTCGTAGAGTTGAGCTCGAGCTTGAACTAAATCAATTAATTAAGCTCAAGCCGAGGGTGGTCGAGCTCAACTCGACTCGTTTATACTCTTTGGCACATATACGGATGGCTCAACTGGCTGCTAAGTGCAGGGGAATCCAGGACATCCCTGCAATAGAACCAAAACAAAGGGAAAAGATATCTCCTCTAGTTTTACAATTTCGTATTTGACAGTATTTCCGACCATCACTAACAATCAATATTATGAATCTTAGTCATCCATCAGGATCTCTTAATCCAATGGTGGTTATTTCCTGTATTATAGTAATTCACCATCTGCCCAATAGCCTAGTCCGCCCGACTGACATGAGTTTCTATCAGAGATGAAGGATCAACCATCATAATTGATCAACTGATTGACACCATCAACTAACAGAGGCCCTGTTTGGGGTAGCTTTGTCAGCTTTTTTTTAAAAAAAATAAGATTTTAACATTTAAATTTATTATATCATCATAATTGATCAACCGATTGACACCATCAACTAACAGAGGCCCCGTTTGGGGTAGCTTTGTCAGCTATTTTTTTTTTAAAAAAATAAGATTTTAACATTTAAATTTATTATATTAAAATAAGATTTTAACATTTAAATTTAGTATAATATATAATGTAATTTTAATTTTGGGAAAATGATATATTTTTATTTTGGAAAATAATGAGATCGGATAAATCTCATATATCTAATTGTTTAAATAACTGAGCACGATACTATAAATGATATATCATCTCGAATGATAAACGTATCACTTATTGTTAGGCTTAACTATCTAAACTTAAAAGTTTATGACTCTATTTTGGTCTGTGAATTTTATAGCCGACAAATTCTCCTTTTAATATACAGATTAGACAGTGTTTAGATTAATCTGAGTTCTTAATTCCCTATAGAGGCAAACTCCTATAGTTAATTACATCCCAAATGACGATGTCATTTGAGAAAACTCTCGATAGTGATTAGAGGTTTCGTTTTCAAGATTGTTTATAGAAAAAGTCAAATGGGATATGTTCAAATATGAACAGTTATTTCAGGAATCCAAAGGAGCGAAAAGTAGTAGATGTCGAAGATACTGAAGAGGATTCAGTGACATCTCAAACTAACCTATGGTTTGACTTTACATCTTTGAAAGAAAAATTATGTGATGTTAATTATGCGATGTTTTGGTTCTGCAAGTTATTTAGATATTCGAGACTTGTGTCTGCATATCCTATGCAAATAGCCCGAGAAAATAGGAGGATTTATGTCGTTCCAGACGACAACCTCGGAAGCCTAAAAAGTTTAGGACTTATATCGTACGATATGAAATCGTATAAAGTCTTAAAAGATAATGTGAGGGTTTACGTTGTACTAGATGAACAATCTCGACGTCCTATAGGTATGTTATTTAAATCTATCGAAACTCGGTTGAAGTTCCTTCTGCCACCATCTGTCGTAGTTAACGTCATCGTCTCGTTCCAAGGGAAAGGGATAAAGAAAAGAGAAAACCATGTCTCGAACGGCCTATTTTAAGCTGTTATACAAACATACTAGAAATGTAATAATTAAAGTATAAATATTGGTAAATGTATACAGTACAATAAAGAACAGACAAAGAGACTATGTAGTAAAGTGCGATAAGAAAAATGCATGAGATATGTAGCGAAGTACAGTACAGTACAGAAAAAAGAAACATACAAAAAATAAAGTACAAAAATTAAATAAATAAAAGCGTACGTGATCATATTCTGCTAAAGCTTCAAAACAGATTGCAATTGTATAATATAAATGGGTTAGGTAAACATTTGCAGATTATAAAAGAAAAGTTAAATGATGAGCATATGAAAGTCTCAAGATGGGATATTAAATTTCAATTTTGGGATAGGCTCAGACTAGACCTCTTTTTATTCCCTCGATCCCCCAAGCTACTGATATATTGAAGTCAACCTATCAACATCAACTAGAAGTCACCAGCAAATCACTTCTATAGTCAGACAACCTTAAACCCTATCGTTTAGTGAATATGTGAACGGAGTAGTATCTGAACTCATCAAAATGTAGTGCATTTATACGTGATATGTAGTATCTGAACTCATTGAAGTGTAGTGCACCCATACGTGATATGTAGTATCTGTCGTGCAGGGTATAGTGTGTGGTGTTCGTTGTATAATACCTGAGGTGTATTATGATATTCGTGGTGTAATGCATGAACTTGTCAAAATATATGATATATCTCTTATGTGGTATATGAAATGTATAGTACATGAGAGTCATAGTGTATGAAAGACAGTGTGTGTGAAAGACATGGTGCATGAAATGTGTAGTGTGTATGTGAGTGTTAACATGTATATCTATAGATATTGGTCAGTGCATAGTGTCTATGATGTGGTGTTTATCATTATGTGAGTGTATTACCCGTGACATGGGTTGTTGTGTATCTGTTCTTTCTAAGTACCATTTCCCAAATCTTTTGGGGAGGGTTAAGGCTGCCGACGATTTAAGAAAGTGAAAGGGCATTGCACTAGTTGAGTGTTGATTTTATATTTCAGCTATAAACAAAGTTGTCAAATGGTTCTTTGCATCATCGCCCGTTACCCCTCGTCTCAAACTAATAGGCCACCTTGATATTTCATATGCTCATATAACAAAGTTTTATATATCTCATATCAAGAAAGTGAGAGTAATCAATAAAATGGAAGAAGTAATCATTTAAACATTTCCATAACATTCGTCTTCCATTCTTAGGCTTAAATTCTAAGACTACATATGTGATCATATCAGACTTTACCAAATTCCCAAAGAGGCACATGCGCTTATTTTTATATTGCCAATTTCAAACATATGAAATTTATGCAGCTATAAGATCAATTTTAACAAGAGATTAAGATCCAAGACCCAAATATCCTCCAATAAAAGTCAGCTCAACAAAGGAGTGCAAAAACTCAAACTACCATTGAACCAAACCAAGCCCAAAGGCCTAAAACTAAGCCATCCAGAAACTAAACCCGAACTCTGAAAAGGGACCAATTAAACCATCAAAGGATAAGTTCAAACTCAATCACAGGAAGCCAAATCGAGCCCAACATCCAAAGCCAAAATCGAGCCCAGCACAGGGCTTAAAACTGAACTATCAGAAAACACATTCCAACCTCTCAAAGAAAGAGGCAACAAGAAGGAGCAAAACTGCAACCCCAAACTAATATTAAAATCCAAAAGAAACTTCCAATATATGCGTTCGAGTAAGGCAGCAAAAGGATGAAGGTCGCAGTACCAAACTGTTACTCCAAGTTAAAAACAGTCTCCAAAAGCAATATTCGAATAGGGCATTGAGAAGTACAAAGGCCAGCCTCCCGAAACGGGTATACAAAATTAAAACATAACCTCCATATATATTTAAATGAAAGGCAGCGAGAAGCATTAAGATCAAGGCCCCTAAATAAATGTTTAGGGCAGCAAGAAGAGCAAGAACAGAGCCCCAAAATTGAAATTCGAAACTAAAAAAAAAAAGGTTCCAACATATTTACTTGCATAGGGGCATCAAGAATAACAGAAAACCAGCCCCCAAATAGTATTCAAAACCAGGAAAAGAATTTCTAATATATGCATTCAAATAGGGCAGTAAAAGGAAAAAAAGAAACGGCCCTTAAATCTTCATTAGAACTAAAATAAAATTCCTCCATATGCATTTAAATAAATCAGTAAGAGGAGAAACAAGAATAGCCCTCAAATCTTCATCAGAACTAAAAGAAAGTTCTCCACATATATATCCGAATAGATCATTAAAAGGAGCAGCAAAAATAGCCCTCGAACCTTCATTAGATCTAAAAGAAAGTTCTCCATCTTATAATCTCACAGGTAGTATCACATGAATAACTAATCCAGAAATTGAATCAACACCCTAAACTGATTTGAAATAGATTCTATGGTGTTAAAGATAGCAACTATTCCAGATAATCAAACATGATTGACATAAGAGATATTAAACTTTGCTTCAATACTATTCCATGATCACATTTCAAAGGAAAATTAAGTTTAACCTTAGCTCCTTGTTAACTCAAGGAATGAGAAGAGTAAGAAAGATCACAGAGATAAAGACTTCCAACATAGAGTAAATTTCGGCACCCTATGTCTCCAAAATCTCCAAAAAGAATAACCTCTTTCAAATGCTCCCCTGAAGGGGTATTTATAGCCGAGCAAAGGGGAAGGAGCTCACGGCAAGGAGGGCCCACGTGAATCCAAAAATGAGACTCATGAGCGGGAGAGACCGTCACAAGAAAGTAACCGGCAGCTATGACCGGAGGAGAAGGTAAGCCATCGCCGAAGGGGAAGGGAAAGACCAGAGAAATCAGAAGAAGCATTGTTGTTTGACCGAGAGAAAGAAAGGCTAGGGCACGGTTGTCCCAAGAAGAGGAAGGGAGCATATGTGAGGGAGAGAAAAAAATTGCGTACGTCAATCGTACGCAGAGATGTGTACATAATAGGGTACACGTGCGTTATACGGGGGTTACATTGGGGTTACAAGCGTGTTATAACTTCTTTGTAACTTTCGTGTAACTCACCTGTAACCCGCGCTTTTATTTTATCCA